TGCTGCTACTTTCTGATGGTCATCTTGTCTTCGGTCTGCGCCAATTGTCTCTTTAGACTCTGGTATATTGAAGACAATAACCTCGGTTTCACGTTTATTACGTTCATTAATCTCAGATATTATATTGTTCGTATCAATAGATAATTCATCCAGCGAAGATAGCTTATTTTTAGCCACACCGACTCTTCTCTAATTTAGTATACTGCTGACTAATGGTTTTATTATGTTCTGCAAGCTTGCCTAAATCTGTCCTTATACTTGCAACGCTGTTTTCAATGTTTTCAACTTTTCTTTAAAGGGAGCCAAGTATTTCTTGAAAATTTTCTCTATTTCAGTTCTACTGGTTGATAGTGGTGAAACGTCAACGTCTTCATCGCTCTCATCATTGTCGGAATCAATAATACTAGCCTCGATATGACATTTTGAACACTGCCTTTTTTTTAGTACAATTTGCGCAAGTGTGCTTATTTGGCATCATCCTTAATTTTTTCCTCCCTCTTTTCAGAATTTTCGATTTAAGTCATCATAAATACTACGTTATGATTGCTATCTATATCTGCTCCTGGATGACTCATATAGTCCTTCATTTGATTTTTTAATCTTTGCCTAAATCATCTGACATCTTCCACGAATATTTTCGATGTTGTGCAGTCTCCGTCACCTCCAGTTTTTACAAAATTTTGATATTAAAAATTAATTAATTTTTCAGTAATGTGATTTACTTAAATTATTCAACGATAATATTGAGAAACCTTCTGGTTTGGAATTAATAGCGCTAACTATACAAAGATTATTTGAATTTTTTCTAATATCAGGAATCTATGAACTAAAAGAAAAGGAAGTAACTTGTAGACTTAATAGTAATCCTTCACTTGTTAAGTTTTCATTGTGTTTTATTTAGTAATTTTACTTTCGCAAAGTGTGTTAAATTCCACCCAAAACCTAAGGTGACCCCGACGAAGAACAAATAGAGAATCTTCTGAGTGCCCAACGAAGGACAAATAGTGCCTGACGGAAAAGCGAAAGTGCGATCCAGCGAAAAGCAAATTATTATCCAACAAATAGTGACAAAACTGTGGTAGTACACGTCCAAAAAACTATAGACATCAACCGATTCAGAAATCGCATTGTCCGTCAACCGCGTCGCATTTCGTGTACCATCATTCATCCAAAGAATACAGACACATAGAAGGCCACATCAATACGATTTTTTGTCGCAGTAAAATGCTCAGTTCTAACTGCGACCGTAGGAGTCGCATGGTCGAAATAGATAGGACAGGGCAGGCTGCAGATGGAATTGTCAGAGTCGTTGACCATGCGTCGATCAGAGTAGGTATGAGTAGGGGTGCACATAAAATTTTTTTTCTTTCAGGATGAAAAATATTTTAATTAGTAGCTGATTATTATGAAGATGATGTTCAATATTTACATTTCAGAGAATAGCAACAGTCAGAATAAAAAATATTGATAATGATAAAACATTATAAAATGGCAATTATACTATAATCGATGGAATTGTTTATTCTCAACCGATGAGTTCAGATGATAATATTTTTTTAGTAATTTTGTTGCATTTGTTAATCAACATTTAATATCATTTGAGAATTAAAAAATACATACTAAATTTCGAGATTTATGTAAATATTGAACATCATCTTCATAATAATCAGCTACTAATTAAAATATGTTTCATCCTGAAAGAAAAAATTTTTAGGTGCACCCTTACTCATAACTACTCTGGTCGACGCATGGTCAACGACTGCTGACAATTCCATGTGCAGCCTGCCCTGCCCATTTCGACCATGCGACTCCTACGGTCGCAGTTAGAACTGAGCATTCTACTGCGACAAAAAATCGTATTGATGTGGCCTTCTATGGGTCTGTATTCTTTGATTCATCCCTGCAGATCCAGAATTATAGTTTGCAATGGTGGAAAGCAGCTTTGCAAATGCGAAAGTGACTACCGACGCTACCAAGTTCAGTTGCGTCATAGAAGCCTTGGAGCCACGGTACGCCTTAGAAGTTAGAGACATCATAGTTAACAAGTCTGAAAGGAACGCATACGAGATACTAAAAGCTGAGTTGATCAAAAGGCTCAGCACGTCCCAGGAGCAGAAAACCAGACGCCTACTAGAGATGGAAGAGATAGAGGACCGAAAGCCGTCGCAGTTCCTTTGTCATCTAAAAGGACTTGCAGGCAGCACCGTTCCCGAGTCCATGCTGCGGACGCTGTGGTTCGCTCGCATACCAACAAGCATGCAAGCCATTTTAGCCGCACATCGCGACCTAACATTAGAAAAGTTGGCTGACTTAGCTGACTCTATTATGGACCTAACGGACAATCGCCCACGAGTAGCAGAAACCATGTCGTCCCCTGGTGATCAATTAGCAGCAAAACTACAGCAGCTAACTCTTACGCTACAGAGAGAGATTGCATCAATTAAACAAGAAGTGTCCGAACTGCGATACCAACATAAACAACGGTCAAGATCGCGTTCCAGTTCACGTCCTCGTTTCCGAAACCGCAGTGCATCCAGTGGTAGTTGTTGGTACCATAGGGAGTTTGGGTCCAACGCTCGAAAATACACCCAACCTTGTTCGTTCCAGACGACAGATTCGGGAAACGCTACGGGGAGTCGTTGATGTCGGCGAACGACCTAGGCCCCTCAGTATCTCGCCGCATCTTCGTGACCGACGTCCAGACCAAAACACAGTTCCTGATAGATACCGGATCTGATTTGTGTGTGATGCGACGACGCAAATCACTGCTAGAGGGACAGCCGCGAACGGAAGTCTTCCGTGTATCAAGACGATTTCCGGTTCTACAATTTTTAATGAACTGTTATCCAAGTTCCCGGAAATAACGCGACCAGATGGAGTGGTGAAGAGCACGAGACATCACACCAAGCATCATATCGAAACTACGCCAGGGCCACCCGTTGCTCATAAACCACGACGGCTAGCCCCAGACAAGCTAAAAATTGCCAAAAAAGAGTTCGATATCATGCTGAGAACAGGAATTGCAAGACCCTCCAAAAGCTGCTGGTCCTCTCCACTTCACATGGTGCCGAAGCAAGGGAATGAATGGAGACCGTGTGGTGACTACCGGAGCTTGAACGCTCGTACGAAACCCGACAGATATCCGGTACGTCACATTCACGACTTTTCGCAGACACTCTCCAACAAAAAAATCTTCTCTACCATAGACCTTGTGAAGGCCTTTCACCAGATTCCGGTCGCTGAAGAAGACATAATGAAAACAGCGATAACCACTCCATTCGGGTTGTACGAATTTCCATACATGGGTTTTGGACTTAGGAACGCTGCGCAGACCTTTCAGAGATTTATAGATGAGGTGCTTTGTGGAATGGACTTTTGTTATGCTTACATAAACGCCAGAGCAGCACGAATGTCATCTAAGGGCGCTGTTTGAGCGTTTACAGTTCTACGGTGTGGTCATTAACCCCGCTAAGTGTGTTTTCGGCGAATCAAAAGTTAAGTTTCTCGGGTATATCGTGTCTAGCGAAGGAACTCAGCTCCTTCCTGAGAAAGTAGAAGCCATTCGTTCGTATCCGTTGCCGGATACTGTGAAACAACTTCGTCGCTTTTTGGACATGTTGAATTTCTACAGGCGATTTATTCCTAACGCAGCAACAGTCCAAGCAGTGCTGAATAACTTATTACAAGGCAACGCAAAAGGCAAAACACCCGTGGTATGGACTGCCACAACCAAGGAGGCATTTGAAGCATGCAAGGATAGTTTAGCCCAAGCTACCTTGCTTGCTCATCCTACACCCGACACGCCACTAGCAGTTTTCTCTGACGCATCAGACTTAACCATTGGTGCAGTCCTACAACAATTAGACGATTCATCATGGCAACCATTGGCATTTTTCTCGAGAAAACTGACGACAACAGAGAGAAAGTATGCAGCCTACGACAGAGAGCTACTAACTATATACGAAGTCATAAAATATTTTCGACACATGGTAGAAGGCAGACAATTCAGCATATTCACCGATCATCGACCGCTGACATTTGCGTTCAAGAAAAAAGAAAAACAATGCACCTCTCGTCAATTCAGGTATTTAGACTTTATTGGGCAGTTTTCCACAGATATACGCCACGTCTCAGGAGACAGAAATGTGGTCGCTGATGCGCTTTCCCGAATTGACAAGGTGTCAGACGCATTTGATCTCGAAACACTAGCAGCCGCACAAAGAACCGATGAAGAGCTGAAAACCCTAAGAATGAACAAATCGACGTCGCTCCAGCTAATGTGGATAACTATGCCAGAAACTAATCTCGAGCTGTTATGCGATGTGTCTACCAAGAACGTGCGTCCCTTCATCACTTCCCAATTCAGACGCACCGTCTTCAACGTCACACATAATCTCTCACATCCTGGAGTAAAGGCGACAGTCAAAATGATAACGCAACGTTATGTTTGGCCGTCAATAAAAAAGGATTGCAGAGAATGGGCACAGAGCTGCGAAGCGTGCCAACGATCCAAGGTTACACGCTATACGAAATCACCACAAGGGACGTTCCCAGTGCCTTCAGGACGGTTCGAACACGTCCATGTGGATATTGTCATCATGCCGAGTTCAGAAGGATTCAGATATTGCCTCACGTGTGTCGACAGGTTCTCTCGCTGGCCCGAAGCGCTACCCATGATGGACCAGGAAGCCACAACTGTAGCACGGACCTTCTTCACCCACTGGATAGCTAGGTTCGGCGTTCCCCTACGAATTACGACAGACCAAGGGAGGCAATTCCAGTCCAGTCTTTTCAAAGAACTCAATATCCTAACCGGTACGGACCATTTTAGAACCACAGCATACCATCCACAGGCTAACGGTCTCGTCGAGCGATTGCATCGGCAGTTAAAAGGTGCAATTATGTGCCATGCCAATTCCAGTTGGACGGAAGTACTTCCAGCAGTTTTACTTGGAATTCGAGCGGCCTGAAAAGACGACTTACAGTCCTCAGCGGCAGAGATGGTATATGGAGAACCACTCAAAATACCAGGAGAGTTTTTAACCCCAGCCACTTCCATAAGCAATCCCGAAACCTATGTGCAAGCCTTACGCCAACACATACAGCGTTTGCGTCCCGTCGAAGGATCCAACCATGGAACAAAAGCGACCTTCGTGTTCAAAAGTTTGGCTACCGCAGAAAGTGTCTTTCTCCGCCGCGGTGGACCGAAGGCGTTACTCCAGCAGCCTTACGAAGGACCCTTCAAGGTAGTTGAGAGGCGCACCAAAACGTTCACGATCGATGTTCGTGGACGTCACGTTGTCGTTTCGGTGGATAGGCTAAAACCCGCTTACATTATGACAGATTATGGTGACAGGAAGACGCCGGGACGGTATGGAACACCGGAACAGCCACCTACAGATAGTAGTCCAGATGCAAAATCGCCAACAGTCCCGCCTTGTACACGTTCAGGAAGACGTGTCAAGTTTCCAGACGGCCTCCAAGTCAAATTTTCATTATCCAAATATATTTTTGTTAGGATATGTAATCACTTTTTATATATCTTTGATATTTCTTCCCAATTCAACATTGTAATGTATAATTCAATTCTTTCTAATGTAAATATTTCCTATTGTTATTATGTAAATATCCTTTCAAATGTATCTTCTCAAAACCTTTTGTATCTGTACCTTTCTATTATTCTCTCTAGAAATTACTTTACTACTTGTACTTTCCACTAATCCCTTAACATTTTAATTTCGTTTACTAACAGCATGAGGTGTATAATTCTTATTGCTTCTTAATTGCATTTTAATATTTGGTTTCTAGGTACATTGGAGCGAAATCTGTTTCTTAGTATTTCATCTAATCACTCTTTCCAAATTTCATTCTCTTCTGATTCAATCCCTACTTTAGTTAAAATACTTCTAGCTCCACCCTTTTAATCTTCGTTAAAATTTATTTTCAAAACTACTAACACTTCCGATCTATTATTCAACTGTTCCACTTCTTCCTTCAGCGATCGTTAATTAAGAGTTTGTTAAACCTAAAGTAGGTTGTGCCATAGGGAGGTAGAATATCTAGGGCACGTATTGTATATATATATGATCAGGTTTTAGGTACCTGTAAGATTTCAAAACATTAATTTGTTACCTTCTTACTTGCTAAAAATAACTTAGCAACCGAATCGGTATAGATGTATATAATTCCAAACTCAATTCTTTTGTCTAAACTTCTAATATTTTTAAATAACATCCGTACAATTGTACAATGATGAGACTTTACCGCGCCACCAGCGTGCGGTGCACATTCGCTTATGGCGGACCAGCAAATTAGTAGTTTAGTTATATTTGCCTTCCGATAGTGCAAAGGTGAACCTAGATTTAACTCAGAAAGCCTATAGTGAGTTACAGTCTTATATTTGTGTGGATAAAAAAAACATCCACAACTAATTTTGAAAAAAAAGAAGTACTCTGCATAATTCCATGATTTCCAGTGAGCAAAATTCATCAAAAATAAAGTGCATAAAAATGCATACTTGGTAAAAACGAAGCATATATTCAACATATTTTTGAGAAAAATGTGACATATTTATACACATATCTATCTCATGTGCACAAAAATCCATGCTCTAATAATGTCTCGCTACATGATACAAATTATTAAAAACTGATACAAATACTAAGAAATTGGAATATTTAACATTATTGCGGGACAGACCTGATTCTATTTAATACCAAGAAACAATTTTGTAGCCCTTACATTTGCGCCACTCAAGGCCCATGGCTCCCTTTGCCATCTTCCCAAGGTACGCCAACCTATTTGAGTTTTTATTTGCTAAAATTATAGCCAATATCACTGAATAAAAACTATATACCCCTGCATGTATAAATATAATATTAACTAATGAAATTGTAAAATGAGCGAAATGGCTAAAGTATATGAAAAGTAGAATGTATGTATATTATTTACCTAAGCAAGAAGTGAAGTCTAAATAATTTTAAATTTGAAAGCAAAAATGTAACTAAAACTCTGAAAAGTTTATCGACATACAACCCGCAACCGACGTTTTTTCTGATACTAACACTACACAACACAAAACATAATAGACACCACAAAATGGTTTTTATTTGTTTATTATTAGTTATCACGATTTTTTAAAATAGCGGGCTTGTCACGTAGTTAACAGTCACAATCATGAAGTTTACGTACCATCTGTTTCAACAACCACTATCCTTAATATTGGACATTTTGGTTAACCAAAAGTGTATAGTTGTTATATTCAGTGACAGCTCGTTCGAGATGCTTTTGGTAAATTTTAAAATGACTTTCTCATAGAAGAAACCAATTTTGCTAGAATTTGTTAAATTACGGACAGACAAACAACCAAAATACTTAGAGTCTTGTGTTTTATTAAATCATACAATAACCGTATAAAAAAGGCAATTACTTCGACATTACAAGCAGACACTTCTATTTCATTAACATATACTTTTTAGAAATGTATAACACTGGTTTAATGTAGATCAAAGACTAATATGCTGTATGATCTCTATTTGTATAACGATCACTCCAGTAAATGATCAATAACTGAGAATCTAGTACGCCAGTTACATACTTGACAAACTTATTAGACGATAGTTAATAATCTGCATCCTTTCAGATATGATATGCTTCGCAAATGTAATTATATTGTTTGTGTATTCTTGATATCGATTCTATTAGCCTATTATGTTAGACGATAGTAAATAATCTGCATCCTTTCAGATATGATATGCTTTGCAAATATAATTATATTGTTTGTGTATTCTTGATATCGATTCTATTAGCCTATTATGTTTATTCTTAATAATTATTAAATTAAGATATCCATATTGTTAAGATAGTCTCTATTTAGAAATAGATAAATTCAAAATATAAAATATCAAAAATTTAGAAAGTAAGTCAGTCTAGTGATAGATTTATGTCGGTTCTAATGCTGAAATAAATTTTTAAAAAGAAAATATTCTTTTCAATTTACTTAAGTCGCCATCTAACAGTAAGTAGCGTTAGCGTAAACAACATAATCTAACGCGTAGTTTATGCTTACTTTACAGTGAGCTCATAATGGGGATGATGCCATATCAGTAACTGTAAATGTTTCGTCACGGCTGAAGAGGACCCTAGTTGGTCCTAAAACGGCCTGAGGTAGAGGGGTTTTAGTCGGTAGGTCCGAGGACTTCTTCCTCGGGAATCCGACACTACCCAGTCGTACGGACGGCTGGGTGTCTTCTGAAGATTTCCCCTCTTCCACGAAAACATAAAAAAAAAAAAAATGTTTCGTCACAAGAAGCCGCTTTGATAAAATACTGAACGAGCTAACTAAAAAATATTTTCACACAATCAATTTAACCGATACGACGGGACTTGAACCTTGACGAAGCTCTTATACAAACTAAAGTGGGTGGATTGGTTTTCGAGTTTCAATGATTTAGGGAGCCGGACTATAAGTAGAACCATAATGGGGGAGGTTCTTAAAGAGAAACCAGACTAAGACAAGTCCCTGAAAGAGGGCAGCAGCTCTTTCAGTACTCAGGGTGGCAGAGATCACGAAGATCGGTATGGCACTCTGATGCACAATACTGCGATGTGGAAGGCAACGGGAAACCACCACATTATGATCCCGAGTAAAACGTTCAACTACTGAAATTAAATGATGACGTCCTCTGGGGTAAAGCATTCCTGACGTAAACTAGTCCCCATTTCGGATGTCCGGGCGGGGACTATCTCGGGGGATGTCACCAATAAGTGCAATAGGGTTAGGTGCAATATTTCACGAGTCGGAGGGTGGAATGTTAGGACAATGAGGCAAGTAGGGAAATTGGAAAATTTAAAAGTAGAGATGAGTAGATTAGAATTAGATATAGTAGGCATTAGTGAAGTCCGTTGGCCCGAAGTTGGAGACTTCTGGAGTGGAGACTTTAGAATGATACATACAGGACCGGTGGAAGGTAACTCGGGGGTAGGAATTGTAATGCGTATGAAAGTAGGGCAGAGTGTAGAAAGTTATTTACAGAAAAGCGATAGGATAGTTATGGTTAAATTAAACTCGAAGCCGGTAAAAACGCTATTAGTGCAGGTCTACATGCCTACATCATTTTACCGTGATGAAGACGTAGAAGGGGTTTATGCAGATATAGAAGACGTGTTAAGTTTAGTGAAAGGACAGGAAAAGCTAATAGTTGTAGGAAACGTCAACGCAGTAAACGGCAAACCACCACATTATGATCCCGAGTAAAATGTACTACACAAATTAAATGATGACGTCCTATGGGTTGAAGCACTCCAGACGTAAACTAGTCCACCATCCGGATGTCCGAGCGGGGGCTACCTCGGGAAATATCATCAATAACTGCAATATGGGAAGGTGTAATATTTCACAAGTCGGAGCGTAGAATGTAAGGGCAATGAGGCAAGTAGGTAAATTAGAAAATTTGAAAGTTAAGAAGAATAGACTAGAATTAGATATGTAGGCATTACTGAAATCCGTTGGCACGAAGACTTCTGGGAGTGGGGATTGTAATGCTTAGCAAAGCAGGGCAGAGTGTAGAAACTTATTTATAAAAAAGCGAAAGGATAGTTAAAGTAAAAACTTACAATTATGAAGACGTAGATGGGATTTATGCAGATACAGAAGTGTTAAGTTTAGTGAAAGGGCAGGAAAACCTAATCGTTGTAGGAGACTTCAACGCAGAAATAGGTACAGATAAAGACGGTGCAATAGCAAGATCTTGTGATCAAGTCATTACTTATGTTAAAATAAAGAATGTTTTATAGGGATTACTATAAATTTTAATTTTTGTATAAACGGCGTAGGTTTCTTTTTTCACTTTTTCCTAAAAAATTCGGAAGGGTCCTTTTATTTTCATCATAACTTGCTTAATTTTGATGGTATCAACTTCTTATGCAGCTCATCTGATAGGTATTTCTGAGTAGTTTGAAAAGTGTTTAGTAAGTATATTTTATAAAATGCATCGTTTTAAGCTTAAATGTTTAGATTTGAATACTCGCCGGAAAAAAGTATACGTTCAATTACTTATAGCTCACTTTGAATTAATATTAAAAGGTTTTTTAAGGAAGGAGTTTTTTGTTCTCTTCAATTTTGGTAATGACAACTTTTTTGTAAAATCTTATAGTTTTTGAGTTATTTATGAAAAACCGCTTTAAAACATGAAGTTTTTTTCGCGAAAAATCAAAATCTTGATCTTTAATAACTAAAAAAGTATTGATTTATTTTATTAACTCTATATACGAAATGTTGCTTACAATCGGTTCCTCTATCGATTTCTGGGGTTATTTTTCATAAAATAATTTCCATCCCCGAGAAGGGGTGGCATCCACCCCCAGGGTAAA